GACCTCACCTCTTTAACCAGAGGAGCCACGCCCCTTTATTGATTGTTTATGTTGAAATTGCTCAAAGAATTCACTCAGAATGTCCTGCCACTAAAAAAAAAAGTCTGAAAACCACTATCCTAATGCAGTGACGATCACAGTCGGATTCGGTGACACCGCGCAGTGGGGAGTTCGATGGACGAGGGCACTTGAGCCAAGCACCTCCTCTTCCGGAAAAGCACGTTTATTAGAGCTTTGAGAGAAAAGTGACGTGAAAAGACTAATTAGAAAAGCACACCGTGCATATGATAGCAGAGTTACCGGTCCTCCTTAATGCTCATGAAAGTACTTTGCAAACTGTAATGTTCCGCTTGGAGGATAAGGTCGTATTGTTAGAGGAGTAGAGTTTATCGTGTGTGATTATTGACTAAAGGAAAAATACCAGACAGGTGTGGACCACTGTCAGATATTTCCGTCTGAAACCCAGCGTAGCCGATGGGATTAGTTCTGCCCCTCCTTCCCGAGCCCTGGCTAGCTCGCCCACAGCAGGGCCATCATTGGGGCTGATGGCATCCCATCTCGTCTGCCTTTTAAGCATCTCAGACAGATTTCAACTATTGATCGCACGTAAAATCCCATCCTGTTTTCCTTTGGATAGAGTCTTCTCTAGAGCTCAGTGAAGATCTTACAGACCTTTCATACAATTTGAAGATAACGTACTGCCTTAAAATTCACTGTGGCATTAGCACCTCTACAGGAAGCAGCATATTTAGGAGGTGCTTCATCTTGACAACACTACTGAGAAGAGGCAGCCTTAGAGTGTGACCTGGCCGCCCGTACCCCAGCTCTCTCTGGGGACTTTATTTCCTGCTCTGTGTATTTATTGAAAGGGGTTGACTTGCTGCCCATTCCTCATCAGGCGTTCTGAGCCAACCCAGGGGGTCAACCGGGCATTCTCTGGAACAAGAGTCAGTAAATTAGCCCCAGTTACCCATCGGCATCAGTCTAGGAGCCTGATAGGCTTCTCTGACCGATTGTGTCCTGTGTCAGAAGGGCCGCCTTTAGCCAGCCTTGCTTGTTGCCGGAGGGTGGGGTCTGTCCCAGTGCAGGGAAGAGAGACAGTTACCAGTTTGATCAGATGGAATCTCTAGTTTTCTTCACTTTCCAAGATTTGTCTCTTCGTAGCAAGGAGCGAGGTGCAGAGTGGAGGAACCGGCCGCCGTGGACAGGCAGGATGGGGCTGTAAGTGCCTGGCTGGGTCTGTTGGGCCAGGGTCACCAGCTGTGCGGTGGGTGACCTTAGTGCGGGCACGCCTGTGGGCCGCTCACCTGCGCCAAGTGAGCAGGCGCCCACGGCCCCTTGCTGCTGCTGGGGGCTCGGCAGAGGGCGCATCGAGCAGGGGCCAGCTTTTACTTCCTCGCCCAGCCTTCAGCACAGATGGCTGGGGCCCTAGCAGAGGGGGTGGGTGGGAGGAGAGGGGTATTTTAGAAACAAGTCCAAGCATTGTGCTGCACGAACCACCTTCCAGCCAAGCACCCTTTCCCAGGGAGGAAGCAGAGGGATGGTTGTGGATCTTCTCGGCCCACCAGCCAGGCCCACGCGTCCTCTGGCCCCCGTAAGACTGTGTTAGGCTTTGCTGCTTGACCACGGTGTCTCACCAAAGGGCCTGCTGTTCAGGTGGTTCCTCCCTGGGTCCTCTGTCTGACCTTCTCCTCCTGCACCCATCAGAGTCAGGAGAGGACAGCGGGGAGCCCGCGCTGTGCAGAGGGACACGGGCAGTGATGCTGGGTCTTTGTAAGGGGCTTAGGAACAGTCCCACTTCTTTAGGGCCTGAGGACCACAGGAGAAGGTGATGTGTGGGGCGTGCCAATGGGTGGGGCAACGATCCCTGTTCACACGTCTCCCCGAGGACAGGGACAGGCCTGGCTCTTCTCTGGGTCCCCAGAGCCCAGCACAGGGCCAGGTGTCTGAGGGACCTTCGCTGGTGGTCTCTTTAATGAAGGGGTGACTCTCCACTCTGTGCAGCCCTGCAGTGTATCAGCCTGGTGGCGGGCGTCCAGCAAAATGGGCAAAATCCTGCCAGGCTTCTTGGCAGATACATCCCCCGGGGGACAGATGGGAAACAAAGTCAACAAGTACGTAAACAAGCCGTCACAGCAGCTTTCCTCCGCAGTAGGAACTGGTAGTGCCGTGTGTTTATTAATCGCTAGGCCACGCTCCGCAAACCTCCAAACCTCTCGGCTCCCAGGGCCTGTGCTCTTTCACCCTCGGGTAGAATGACTGCCTTCTAACGTACTACGTCATTTACTTATTTGTTACGATTTAATGGTACTGTTTGTCTTTCCCCACTAGCACGTAGCTCCAGAAGGCAGGGGTCACTCTCTGTTTGGTGCCCCACAGTGTCACAAATGCTTAGAACAGGGCTCGGCCCCCCTGTGGCTGGTAAGGAACAAATAAATACCTTCTGTGGTGCTGGGAGAATTTCCAAATAAATATTTCTTCCTTTTGTGTAGAAATGATGTTTTACTTGAAGTTGGACCTTGAGAAAATTTGGAAGTAGGAGAACAAGAATAAAAAGCTTACAAAGAGAATGTTTTATCAAGTAGCAGGGGATCACTGTTGAACTTGGTGTTAGAGATGGAAATTCTGTCTTCAGGAAAACAGTACTTGACATGAATACTTGACCAGGTTGAGGAGAGGGTAGTAACTAGCAAACAGGCAGAGAAACTGAAGAGGCAGACCTGCAGTCAGACCTGAAGTCGGCTTGGCCTTTCTGAGTCGCAGCCAGGAGAGGCCCACGAGCTAAAGTGCGTGTGTCCACAGAGCCTGGTGGCTGAATTTGTCTCGGGTTCCAGGAGCATCAGGTCTGGAGTGAGAGAGGGTTTCCATGGCATGTCGGAAAAGTGGACCCCTCCTGAGGTGGTCTGGGTGGGGACTGTGGGTGGAGAACCAGTGCTTGGAGGTCCTTATGAGGTCCTGGGACTTTCCCTTCTCCCAGCTCCCAGAGGACTAGCGATGCTGGCAGGGGGACCTGTGCTGATTAAGTCAAGTTACCCCCAGAGTCTGAAAACCAGAGGTGGGACTCCCTCCCGTATCCTCAGCAAACGCCGCCACGTATATCACTGCCAAACATCAGGGTAGATTGGAGTGGAGGGACAGACCTGGGAAGGGGACGACTGGCTGGGGAGTGAGGGGAGAGTCCCACGGGCCGAGCACGCCCCTTCTCTTCTGTGCCGTCCTGGCACCGGCTGGAGAGAGCCCAGTCCGGGCTCCCAGGAGCGTGGCTCCCTCCAAAGTGCTCTTCTCTCTGTGTTTTCTGTAAAACTCGCGGCAGTGGATTTGCTCACGACAGCCGTGATAGAGACTGTCTGCGATTTGTTCAGTCAAGCCCACGAATGAGCCCGAGCCCGGGAGCCGTCGCGCGTGGATGTCCAGGGCGGGTTGGGCGCGGCTGCCCTTTCCCGGCGGGTCCCGAGTGGGCGCGCGCTCTCTGCTGAGGGGCCGTGCGGACTGCCCGTCAGAACGCTGTGAAGAGGGGATGCTCGGGCAGGTTCTTTCAGGTCTGTGGCTGTGATTCTAAGAAAGAGACAACCCCTGTCCTTTGCTTCCCGTATTTCCTTCTGACTTAGGGAGTGGGAATCGCAGACAGTCCTCATTTCCTCCCCCTCAGGCTGATGCCGGGTGGCCGTGCGCGGGGAGCCGCGTTCTGTCTGTGCCTGGCACCTCCGATCTCCGGAGTATTTGAAAGTCTCTTGAGCCTGTTCGGTTCGCCCTCCCTGGGGGTGGCGCAGATTTAAAGCACAGATCTCCTCCAGCCTTTCCCCCGCTTAAAAGGCTTCCGTGGCCCTGCCCTGTCCTCCAGAGTGAAGGCTGCGGGTCAGACGCGGCCCCAGACGCGTTTGGCTGAGCTTCCTTATTATTTTAAGAAATTTTAGATTAGAGTCACCCTTGAAAAATCAGAAGATTTTCTGCAAAAAATCTGGATTTCCAGTCTTCCTGCCAACAGCCAGAAGGTTTGGTGACTCTGTCCCCTGCCTCAGCAGCGTGGGGTCACTGTGCTGTGCCGCTCCCGCCCCGCGGCCAGACTAGTGACTCACACTCCTGCGTGGTCTCCGGGAGCACTGGAGGTTCCCGCCTGGCACTCACCGAGGGAAGGTTCCAGACTTCTCTTGGCACTCGAGGCCCTTCAGGACCTGGCTTGCACTCCTTCCACTGGTTTTTATTTCTACCTGCTGCTTCCTCATGAATTTCGCCACATAGGACGCTCGGCTAATGGTTACTCTTTGTTGTCACTCCCCTTTCTTAGACTGGAACCTGCCACACTGGTCCCCCCACCATCCGTCTCCTGTGCCCACTACACCTTTTTATGACCCATTCCGTGTGGCCCCCAACTGTAGCTTCACAAGTGTTGCTTTCTGTCTGTATCTGAAGGGGCTGCCTGCCCAGAAAGTCTCTTCTGACCCCTCAGGTAGACTCTTCCCTCCCTCCCTGCAGCCGTCCCGGACCCCTTCTCATTTCAGGCGGCGCACAGTGGCCGGTCCTTGCCCATGTGGCCGTCTCCCACCAGAGAGCAGGGTCTGGGGCTGCACCGTCTCAGTCTGTATGTCCTCCATGCCTGGCATGAGGAAGGTACCTGATAACTGTGAGCTGAGTAAGTGAATGACATCTTAGGCTGTGAATCTTTGAGACCACGTGTTCTCCGCGGTGTTACTTACTATTGACTCTGAGGTCTGGTGGGCTTCGTGCAGATGAGATGAGGGGTGTGCCTGCTCTGTCAGCAGTGTCTCCCAGTGCCCAGATGGTGGCCTGTGGCACGGGCACAGTGAATATTTACTGAATCAAATGAAAGACCGAAGAAGCCATGATAATGCCCGAGGTGGTACAGTGGCCAGCGCACAGCAGTGGGCCTCTGTCTCTGTCACTCGGACATCTTTCCTTTACTGTCATCCTGTAAAAGGGCTGTGTGCACCCTGTGACTGATATACAGTGGTATTTGATACGCCTTGGCACTTGCTCCTTAGGTAACGAATCTGACCTGGAACTGGAGAAGAAGTATAAGGAAGATGATCGAGAAAAGGCCCCGAAGAGACCACGGACCCAGAGAGCAGAGAAAGTCCAGAAGGTCTCTTCAGGAAAGGAGGCTGCGCAGATCTCCGGGGCCAAGAAACCCATCATCAGCGTGGTTTTAACTGCACACGAAGCTATTCCAGGTGACCACAGCACGTGGGAGGTGACAACACGGGACTCCCTTGGCACAGCTATGCTGCAGGCAGCTTGGCAGCTGGGGCGGTGGTCCTGAACAGCTTGATCCCTGGGGGGCTCCTCAGTGGATCACCCATTCACCTGGGACAGCTGTGCGCAGAGGGAAGGGCTGACGGCTGCTCCTGCCGCCGTCAGGACCCCTGCTGCCGCGACCTGTCCTTATCATTCATGTAGCCACTCAGAGGAGCGGCGGCCAAGGAGTGGGGTTCTTTTCTGTGCTCCCCTCAGCCAGCCCCCCCGGATGTGCCCGTCTTCCCTACCTTACTACCCTGACCTAAGTGTAAGACCACTCAGACCAGGCGGCTGCTCGCTGCTTCTCCAGAACCCTCCACCTGACTTCTTTCTTTGCATTTTTTAGTGGTTCCATCATATATTTTACAACACTGGAAGTTTCTGACACCTTTTCCTTTCACATAAAATAGCCAGTGGAGATACTAAACTATCTTTTTTTTTTTAAAAGGTCTCTTCCAGGAAAGGATACTTTAGACAAAAAAGCAGTTTATGATAGTAGATTCCAAAGTATAATAATGGATTTTTTCCTACCCATTTGGGGTGATAGCTATCAAATAAAATAAAATAAAAAAAAACAAGTTTAGGATTTTGAGGACAGCTAGAGCCTTTTAAAGTATCTGTTTTCAATGCTAATAATAATTCATTATTTAAAATGAAAACACTGAATAAATAAATCCCTTTTTATAATTCAGTGCAGAGTAAGATGATCAGTAGAGAATAAGGCACATAGAATTTTAAAAACATTTTTTAAGTTTTAATTTTTAAATTAATTTTTTGGGGTAATTAGGTTTATTTATCTGTTTATTTAATGGAGGTACTGGGGACTGAACCCAGGATCTTGTGCATGCTAAGCACATGCTCTACCACTAAGCTATACCCTCCCTACCAAGGCACATATAATTATGTGACTAGAAGAAGTTTCTGGAAAGTCACTTTGTCTGCCCCACCGTACTTCAGAGCAGTATTATCTGGGAGATGAAAATATCAGGAGAGGAGTTCCTGTTCTCAGCCATCTCCAGAGAAAGTTTCTGTAATAATTTCTTAAAAATTGATGGTAGTATTTTGAGATTTCTGTAAGGGGGGGTAAAAAGTATAATTAATTTCCTTTGCTATTCCAGAAACAAGGGGGTAGACCAGAGCCTTTTCTTTAGTGCACTTGATACACAGAGTGCATATGCACACACTGTTAGGTGCACATACGCTGCTGTGGAAGGTCTTTGAGCATCTTGCGCCATAGCTCTGCACAAGGAAAGGTGACCTTTGAGTTTTTCCTTTCCAAAACCGTTCATTTCATAGGGCGGAAACAGAGGCCCAGAGATGGTAAGGTAATGTCACATTCGGCACTGGATCCCAGGCAGCTTAAATTCTTGTTCCCAGTTGATTCCGCTGCTCTGTACTAACTTGATGCAGCTTTACACTTACTTGAAGTTTAACACATGTGGCTCTGTATGAAATCATGCAGGTAAACATACATCTAATCTATGTATCTGTCTATCTATCTATCTATATATTGTTTGTTGTTGATTGTTCTTTTGCTTTTTTGGTTTTTTTTTGTATTTTTTAATTGAATTATAGTCAATTTTTAAAATGTTGTGTCAATTTCTGGTGTACAGCACAATGCTTCAGTCATACATGAGCATACATGTATTCATTTTCATATTCTTTTTCACCATAAGCTACTACAAGATATCAAATATAGTTCCCTGTGCTGTTGAGTATAAACTTGTTTATCTGTTTTATATATACCAGTCGGTATCTGCAAATCTCGAATTCCCAATTTATCCCTTCCCATCCTCTTCCTCCCTGGTAACCATAAGTTTATTTTCTGTTTCTGAGTCTGTTTCTGTTTTGTAAATAAGTTTGTTTGTCTTTTTTTTTTTGTGATTCCACATGTGAGTGATATCATATGGTTTTTTCTTTCTCTTTCTGGCTTACTTTACTTAGAATGATAATCTCCAGGTCCATCCATGTTGCTGCAAATGGCATTATTTTATTCTTTTTTATGGCTGAATAATATTCCATCGTATCAATATACCACAATTTCTATATCCAGTCATCTGTTGATGGACATTTAGGTTGTTTCCCATGTCTTAGCTACTGTAAATAGTGCTGCTATGAACATTGGGGTGCATGTATCTTTTTGAATTAAGGTTCCCTCTGGATATATGCCCAGGAGTGAGATTGCTGGATCATATGGTAAGTCTATTTTTAGTCTTTTAAGGAATCTCCATACTGTTTTCCATAATGGCTCCACCAAACTACATTCCCACCAATGACGTAGGAGGGTTCCCTTTTCTCCACACCCTCTCCAGCATTTATTGTTTGTGGACTTTTGAATGCTGGCCATTCTGACTGCTATGATGTAATAACTTATCATAGCTTTGATTTGCATTTCTCTGATAACTGGCAATATTGAGCATTTTTTCATGTGCCTATTGGCTATTTGTATGTCTTCATTGGAGAATTGCTTGTTTAGGTCTTCTGCCCATTTTTGGATTGGGTTGTTTGTTTTTTTCTTATTAAGTTGTACGAGCTGTTTATATATTTCAGAAATTAAGCCCTTGTCACTCTCATCTTTTGCAAATATTTTCTCTCATTCTGTAGGTTGTCTTTTTGTTTTGCTTATGGTTTCCTTTGCTGTGCAAAAGCTTATAAGTTTAATTAGATCCCATTTGTTTATTTTTGCTTTTATTTCTATTGCCTGGGTAGGCTGCCCTAGGAGAACATTGCTGAGATTTATGTCAGAGAATGTTTTGCCTATATTTTCTTCTAAGAGGTAATAGTGTCTTATCTTGTGTTTAAATCTGTAATCCATTTTGAGTTTATTTTTGTGTACGGTGTGAGGGAGTGTTCTAATTTCGTTTATTTACATGCAGCTGTCCAGTTATCCCAACACCATTTGCTGAAGAGACTGTCTTTACTCCATTGTATGTTCTTGCCTCCTTTGTCAAAGATTAATTGACCAAAAGGTTATGAGCTTATTTCTGGGCTCTCTGTTCTGTTTCAGTGACCCATATGGTGTTTTGTCCCAATACCATGCTGTTTTGATTACTTTAGCTCTGCAGTATTATCTGAAGTCTGGAAAGGTTATTCCTCCAGGTTCATTCTTTTTCTTCAGTATTGCTTTGGAAATTCTGGGTCTTTTGTGATTCCATATAAATTTTAGGACTATTTCTGCTAGTTCTGTGCAAAATGTCCTGGGTAATTTTATAGGGATCACAGTAAATCTGTAGATTTCTTTT